GGCCTATTTCTTTCTCTCTTTTATTTTTATTTTTTTTCTGGAGCTGGAATTTCACCCTTGTTGCCCATGCTGGAGTGCAATAGCCTGATCTCAGCTCACCACAACCTCTGCCTTCTGGGTTCAAGTGATTCTTCTGCCTCAGCCTCCTGAGTAGCTAGGACTACAGCCATGCACCACCATGCCTGGGTAATTTTATATTTTTAGTAGGGACGGGGTTTCTCCGTGTTGGTCAGGCTGGTCTCGAACTCCTGACCTCAGCTGGTCCTCCCACCTCGGCCTCCCAGGCATGAGCCACCTGGCCTGCTCTGGCCTATTTCTTCCATTACTCTTGCTGCTTATATCCTAACTCTTTTATCAGCTCTTCTTTTCAAACAAAGCTGTCTCCAAGATCCCACCTTTGTCCTCCTCTCTGTAGTTACCCTTCCACTATCTCTGAAAAACTTTGACTCTCACCCAGTGGGTTTGCCTTCTGAGTCCATGTCTGTATTTTCAGATACTCATTTCCACCTGCTTGATGGACATTGCCACCTGGACCTGCTGTAACTGGAGGACCACTATTTCCCAAACCCAACAACTCATCTTCCTGCTCACAATTTGGTTCTTCTCCTTGTTTCCCTTTTTTGATAATACTACCCCTGAGACTTTTCATCCCTTAAATTCAAAACTTTAGAGAAGGTTTTGATTCCCTTTTTTTTTTTTCCCTTACTTCCAATTTCCAATAATTAAAATACTATGCTGTTTTGGGTTCCGCTGCCTTCTGCTGCTAATAACATCTTGCCTGGGAAGTGCTCTCCTAACTAACCATCTCCCCTGTGTGAGATGTTCTTCTCCTGTTATCTAACTAATAGTCCTTATACAGTATGCCACCCATGAGATCTATGTGAGGGAAACTTTCAGATGTGGAACACAGAAAAAGACTTTGTAAATGGACAAGCCAGGAGCATGAGTCATGGCAAACCTGCCAATACTCCTTAAATTATAAATTTAGTGGGACCCCAATGAAAATAGTAACAGGTTTTAAAAAATATTTTTCCGTGACCATAAAAGCTGAAGAGAGTTCTGATGGAAAAATAAGTATACTAGAATATCCAGGAAATTTCTGAAAAAGTAGAATAAAAAGAGAGAACTAGCCCAAATAGATATTGAAATTATTATAAAATGTTAGCCATTAATATACCTTAATAACTGTATATGAATAAACAGAATAGACATAATAGAATCAAACTGACCTCAAGACTTATGAGGATTTAGTAATTCTTAGATGTTGTGAATCTTTATCCGTGGGGAGAATTTTTACAATTCAATAAATGGTGCTGGGACAATTGGGTAGCCATCTGGGAAATAATAAACTTGTATCTCTCCTAACTCTCTATACCAAAGTGAGTGCCAGGTGGACTATCAACATGAAAATTAAACTATCAAAGTTCTAGGAAAATAATTCAAATTTTTAAACTGACCGTGGCATAGAGAAGGCCTTTCTAAGCATGATAAAAACAAAACATTTCTGCATGGTAGAAAACACTATACATAAAGTCAAATTCTAACCAGAGAAAAATATTTGTAACGAACATGTCAGACAGAGGGCATAATTTGTTAACATATAAAGAACTTCTATAAATCAATAGAAAAAAGATCAAAACTGTAATAGACAAATTGGCAAAGTACATGAGCCAATAGCTCACAAAAGAAAATACTAAGGGTATTTAGATATTTGAAAACATGCTTAGGATCCACAAGATAAGCAATTGTAAATTAAAACTGTACTTTTCAGCTTGTAGCCAAAGATGATTAAAATGTATTTTCAGTCACCTATTTTTGGCAAGATTATGAGGAAACAGACATTCATACTATATTATTATTTTGAGACAGGGTCTCATTCTGTCACCCAGGCTGGAGTGCTGTGGCACAATTTCAGCTTACTGCAATCTCCACCTTCCGGGTTCAAGTGATTCTCCCACGTCAGCTTCCTGAGTAGCTAGGTATTATAGGTGTACACCACCATCCCCAGATAATTTTTGTATTTTTTGGTAGAGACGGGGTTTTGCCATGTTGGCCAGGCTGGTCTTGAGCTCATGACCTCAGGTGATCTGACCACCTCATCCTCTCAAAGTGCTAGGATTACAGGTGCGAGCCACCATACCTGGCCCATACATATATTTTAGTTACATAAACAGAACAACCTCTAAAGAGGGAAATTTTTGAATATCATCAAAATTTTAAATTTACATACCTTTTCATGTATCAGTTGCATGTTTGAGAGTTTCTCCTACATCTCTATTTAAACTATGTCTGAAGAAATATAGAGATATTTGCTGCAGCACTACGTGTAACAGTATGTTTTATCAACTTAAAGAAGAAATGAAACAATCACAAGCATGGAGCCTGCCATGTTTACCATCTGCTTAAAGCCTCCCAGTTGATTTCTGCCAGCTAGGAAAGAGTTTTTGTAATCCGGCCCCAGCCTGCCCTTCCTCATGTCTTGCTTTCCTCTGCCCTCCCTAAGCTCAGGCCAAATGCCTACACTGTTTGCCCTGAACCTTCCCATCTCCATATCTCTTTGTGCTGATCCTGCTGCCTGGCTGGCCCTCTCTCCAGCCTTTCCCCTCTTCTTCATCTGCGTGAATACTAACCTGCCTCAGAGGCCACCTCTTTCTGAAGAAATCTGTCAACTCTGTGCAATTCCCCAAACCCAGCTGAAAATGGCCACCTCCTCTTAACTTGACATGATACTTTTTACCAAACTATTTTAATATAAATGATCTCAGATGCCATTAACTTATATTTTCTCCCAAGAATGAAAATATATTCATGTATTTTCTGATTTTAAGATATGGTATTGCACATACTTTTAAAAGTGGGAAATCTCAGGGCTCACCCCCATACATGTACATGTGTGTAATGTGAAGGTGTAGGTGTGCAGAAGAATAAAGAAAAAATAAATTTCCTGAAGTAGATTTCCAGGTCAAAGAATGTGCACATTTAAAACACTGATGTATGTTGCCAAACTGATCTCTGGAAAGATTCAGAATTCACTTACCAATAGTTATTGAGAACATAACATGTGCCAAGAACTATATGCTAGATATTTAGGCTACAATGGAGAGCAACACCAGATGTGGTCTCTGCTCCTGCACCAAATCAAATAAAAAGGATTTGATCTAGTTGGTGAATTCAAGGATGACTTCCTAGAAGAAGTGAAATTTCAGGTAAGGCCCAAAGGTTAAATAGGAGATAACTAGACTAACTGGAGTTAAGAGGCCTTCATTCAATGCCTGTACAAATGTGGCTGGACAGGGAGTTGAAGAAGGCATGGCTGGAGTAGAAATGAGGGGGAGTGTGGTGCAAGATGAGGCCAAAGATATATGTAGGGGCACACCACAGATGGATTTGTAGGTCTTGGGAAAGATCTCTCTGTGTTTCCAACAGCAAGGAGAGGTGTAAGCGAGGTTTAGGGATCACATTTGTATTTTGAAAGGATAAATTCGGCTGAGTAGAGAGAACTGATGAACAGAGGCGAGAATGAAGACAGGTTGACAAGGTAGGAGGGTACTGCAGCAGTCCAATTGACAGATGATAACAGCTTAAACTAGTCTGAATTGCAGGCTGTGATGCACAGATTGGACTAGGATAGTCAAAGGAGACATACAGAAGAGCAGATCATTTTATGATTTTACCAATTTATACTACTATCAGAAATGGATATCATTGATCAATTTTGACATTGTCAATGGTGTTTGTTTATGTGTGTGTTTAAAATACACTATGTTGTACATAGTACCTATAATTTATAGTATGTATAAAAATATGTAAAGTTTTTCCTTTGATAATTGCTAGGGTTGAGTATCTTTTCATATTTCATTGACCACTTTGTTTCTATTTATCTCTTTTTTTGAATTATCTCTACAGAGCCTTTGTCTGTTTACTTACTGGGGCTTATGTTCTTTTTCTGTTTTGGGATGCAGTCCAGGATCTCACATTGCATTTAATTATCATGTCTTTGCTGTTGCCACTGATTGATGATAGTTTCTCAGGTGTGTGCCTTTTTATTAATGATTTGAATAAACTCTTGTTATATTGATGCAGGGCAGCCCTTGGCAAGAATCCAAGTGCAAAATCAAGGCAATCTTAAAGCAATTTTAAAAGATGACGATCTGTGACATATGTTGCCAATATTATTTTTCCAGTTTGTCTTTTTGTTTGTTTACCTTGTTTTAAGAATGTTTGTGTGTGTGTTCATGTGTGATATAATTGCCAAATGAATCAATCTTTTCCTTTATTATTTCTAGCTTTGGTATAATGCTTAAAAGTCCTCCCTGTTCCAAGGTTACGGTGAGTTATCCTCTATTGCTTTTACAACCATCATTTTTTCAGGTCATATCAAATACAATGCAAAACAGACATCTTTACCCTATTCCTCTAGTCTTCCCCCTCCACCCCATGCCTCTAATTTTGCCAGATGGGGCAATAAAATGCAGTGCTGAGGTGGCACTTATGGCATAAATTCAGCAATGTCAATTCTTGCTCTACAGCCCTCCTCTGAACTGCTTTGACTGCAAAAGACCTAACTTCGGTCCTGACAAAGTTCTTTCCTGCACCAATGCTACTTTTTAATTGCCCAACCAATTCTACCTAATCATAAGTTCCCTGAAGTCAGGAACCAGATCTATTTTATTGTGTGCAGTACTCATGTGGCTGAGCCCTTTTTTAACAGCCTCTGCCGACATAACATTCCAATGCATTATTCCCATGAGAAAAACACAAACCTTCATCACATTGATGAAAACGTAGATATTCTCAAAGTGGTGTGAGGCAGTCATTGGAAGGTCTATCATAAATCACACAGCAAGACATTCAAATTTCTACATGGGGAAGTATTTTTGCTCACTGTATCCTTTCCAATCTCTCTCCAGCAAGAGTAAAAAGCTTACTCAGCAAAATTAACACCCCCAGAAAAGCCTAGTAAGAACAAGATATTTTTCTTCAAACTTCCCTTAAGGATTTCAGTTCATCACGACTGTAATCTCCTGATGTTTTTATTAGAAAACTTTGTGCATGCCAGAGAGTCAATAAGTACTCCTGAGAATCAGCGAATTGGTTGGTAATCCTGTCCTGATACTTGACTTATGTAGTGTCTTTGTTGGAATCTAGGAGATAAACAAGACTATTTTCTTTTCTAACTGCTTCTTGTTTTCCTTTTACAGAAAGAATTAGGACTCTATTGAAAGCTTACCACCATTATATGGGCTATCAGGTCAAGTTAATTATAATAAGGATCCATCTTAAATTCTCATCTTAAATTCTTTGCTGAAGCAGCATTTTCTTAAGTGGTCCCTTAGCACAGACCCAGAGGACAATATTATTGCAAAGTGAGTGGATGGACTAGAGGAGCTAAAAATAAGGAGTTCACCTTTCTGTCTTGGGTGGCCAGACAGATCCAAATCTATTTGGAACAAAGCCTCGTGCTAAAAGCCAACAGTTCTCAAAGGAGAAATGATCTCTTCCCTGAGGAGTGGGAAGGAGAAAGGAGTTGAGATGCTAGTGCAACACTGGACATAGTAGATGTGAACAATTTTGGTTCTAAGGAGCAAGCCATGTGCATAGAGGCAGCTGTTTTACTTCAGTTGACCTGATGCCACACCAGAGTTTGATTTCAGTAAGAGCCATGGGACATATGAATCTCAACTGAGCACAGGGAACAAAATGGAAGTCAAGTTCGAGTTATTAAAGGACTGATGTCTCAGCACTTAATGCCACCCTAATGGTGAGTTGCATAATTTTCCCTCTTTTCCTCTTTACTTTCATTTCCTAATGACCCGCCCTGCTTTCTGGTTCCTTTTCAGCCTTAATTCACCTATAACAAGTTCACCTTAGATGAAGCTATCTTTTGTTGGCGATGTGGCCTGAGGCAAATCACTTTCTCTCTTTTAGCATCATCCTAAGACAGTAAGGAAAACAATGAGCGATAATGGGGGTAGAGCAATCAGCATGGTACTGGGTACCCAGCAGGTGTGCCTGTGATTTGTATTAAGGAAACCCCAGTTTTCCAGCTGTCAAGATACCTCAGCCTACCTCTTTTTCTTGGGCCATTGGAAGGGAGATTCCTCAAGCAACATGGACAACAAGAGGCATCCTCCTTTCTGATTCCTGGCCACAGCAGCGTTCTCAGCATTTAGATTTCTTGCCCATTCCGAAAGCCGGGGTGATGGCTCCCTCGTATCTCTTTAGATGCCACAGCCCATGAGTTATGGCTTCCGCTGACCTCTCTGCAGGGTAGGACGATGAGCTGGCAACAGCTGTGGGAGCCGCAGTAAAGAGCCCGCAGAATCAGAGCTGCAGCTGGGTTAATGACACTGTGGCATTGGGGTGGCTGTCTTGAGGACTATAAAAAAAGAAAGGAGAAAGAAAAACAAGGAAAAAAATCTCAAACCTCAAAACAAAGACAGATGTTTTGACTTAGGAAAAGAACATAAAGAGATATCAGTTTAGATATTTGTTTTCCTAACAGCAAATCGATACTTAATTGGGTTACAATAAATGGGAGAGTGTTTTATATTTACAACAAAATTAACTCAAAAAGGAAATAAAAATTCAGTCCTCTCTATTCTTCCATTTCCCCCTTTCTTTCTTCATTTTCCTCTCTGTTCCTCCAATGCAAAAATAAAACAAAACAAAAACTCCCCTGCTCGGAATTATTCTGTGAGAATGAGGTGGGCTCTCCCAGAGATGTGGTGGATGTAATCTATATATGGGAATCTTGGAAATTCCACCCCTCAACTTTTTCTGCTAAGTATACTTGAATCTGACAGTGGCAGAGACCTCAGTTAATTAATTAATTTAATTTTATTTTTTGAGACAAGGTCTGGCCCTGTTGCCTAGGCTAAAGTGCAGTGGCACAATCTTGGCTCACTACAACCTCCTGCTCCCAGGTTCAAGCATTTCTTGTGCCTCAGCCTCCCGAGTAGCTGGGACTACAGGTGTACACAACCACACCCAGCTTCTTTTTGTATTTTTAGTAGAGATGGGATTTCACCCTGTTGCCCAGGCTGGTCTTGAACTCCTGAGCTGAAGTGATCCACCCACTGGGGCCTCCCAAAGTTCTGGGATTACAGGCGTGAGCCACCGCACCCAGCCAACCTCAGTTAATTTAAATTTGAGTTTAGCATGCTAATGATGCCTAGCAATGTAAGGAGAGAAGGATGATCACCTGTGTCTGCAAATACTCAAGCCCTAGACTGGGATTAATGAGACATAGGTTTTAGTTCTGAGTCAAACCCTCAACTGACATATTACTTTGGGAAAAATAACTCAACTTCTCGAGGACTCCATTTTCTACTGTCTTTTCCTCATCTAAAGTTCAAAGTCTATGTCTTGGGGAAGGCTTCCGTGTGTGGTGATGTAGGTTAGATGCCTATACTGGGGAAAGGTATGACTTGACGTCCAGCCTTTGTTCCTCTTGCCAAGACTCTGCCTTCCCAGAGGGAGCACGTTTTGAAATAGGCACAAAGCGCCTATGTGGCAGCTCTGACCTCGATTATGGGCCTGAGAAAATGTCCTCCCTAAAGTGGGGCAGAGATGAACAATAGGAGAGGCATTTTTGAGAGACTAGGAGCTGAAAGCCAATTGATGTGGCTATGCCTGTGGGGTGATCAAGAGTGATTACAAGACAAGGGATGTCTGCAGGAGGCAAGATGAAGAGTTTGGGAGGCTGGACAGGAGGCTGAACATCTAGAGTTTGAGGGAACCCAGGCAGGGGTCTGAAGAAGACACAGTAAGTATCCCTTCTCCTCAATTCAATAATACATGGAGAAACCAGACAGGACTGCACAGCCCACTGACTACAGAGTTATGACAGATGCTAGGCTGCGGCTGAGGATAGAGGCGGTCGTTATAGGGGAATGGAGTTGGAGAGAGGCTGGGAGAAGGTGGAAATAGAGTAGAACATGAGAATAAAACAGACTCAAAGCCTATGCTTTGTAATAAGTCTCTTGAGACTGATGGTTTTAAAAAGAGGAGTTCCCCTGCACAAGTTCTCTCTTTGCCTGCTGCCATCCATGTAAGACATGACCTGCTCTTCCCTGCCTTCCACCATGATTGTGAGGCTTCCTCAGCTACATGGAACTGCAAATCCAATTAAACCTGTTCCTTTTGTGAATTGTCCAGTCTTGGTATGTCTTTATCAGCAAAGTGAAAATACGCTAATACAGGCTGGCATCATTTTTTTTACTGAGCAAATGAGAAATACATTCAGCAGAGGTATATGACCTACCCAAGGTCACAGAGCTGGGAGTCAAACCAGACTGTTTTCCTGCTATGCCTTAATCCTCCTCATGACCATATGCACACTCACTCCTGGACCTGCCTTCATTTTCTAGAACTCCAAACTTATTATTTCACAGAACAGAATTCTATTCTTTGTAGCTATCTCTTGTAACTTCAAAGAAAACAAGTCATTGGAACAGATATACTCAAAGAAGCTCACCTTTGGCAAATACTGTCAAGTTAAGGTTTGTAAGCCACAAAAGAAAATCAAGTAAAATGATATTATTTTGTTTCTTTAAATCCATAAAACCAAAAATCTCCAGTGAACCAGAAAATCTCTCTACAAAAATCATTAAGTTAAAAATAAACTTTAAAAATTGACTGACAATCAACAAGAAAAATAGAAATTTTAAGACCTTCAGACTAGAGCAGTAATTATATTATTGATCCAAAGGATTAAGGCAAAGAGGAGGAACTTGGGGAGAGAGTATGACTAATGATTGCTGCCCTTTAGCTGGGAACTTTGAGGTGTGATGGATGATTAAGTTTTGGAACCCCAGGAGGAAGCCACTCTCTCCCTACCCCCAATCCCACCTTAAAGAAGTTTGTTCAACAGACTATACCCCAAAGCAGTTTTGCTAGCAACTTCTAATGTGGCCAGTATGATAGAATAAAGTACTTTATAAGCTGTGATGAGCTTTACAAAAACAAGTACTGTCTTCGTCCTGGAGGCTAGAACTTAGGTTTTTACCATGTTTGTATCCTTCGAATACTTGGACTCAGTAAGTATTTGCTGAATTGAAAAATCAAATAGCCTATCAACAACATCCTTCTGATATTACTTCTAAATGAAAGGATTTGGTCGGGCATGGGGAGAGGTAAGGGAGGCAGTCATTTACTGTGTATTTGCAGGCTTAACACTGTTTCCAGGGCTTTGGTACATCCTGTTCTGCTGTAAGGAACTCTACAGAAACAGAGTACTGCTATAGAGAGGCAGTATGGAGGAGGTGACCTTGACATCCCCTTCTACAGCCTAGATTCTGGGATTGTAGATGCATAAAGGTTCTCCGGGTGACCCCATGTGGCTTTCCCTTTACTTGCTCACTGCCACCCTCGGCTGATGGCCCCACTGAGCTGTCTCTTCATTTCAGCTCCTAGAAACTCAGGCCTCACTTGATTTCTATCATCTGGTCCTTGGAATTTTCCTTCCCAAATCATAAGTATCTCCACAGAAGGTACACTGGAGTAGTTTTTTTCTTTTTTTTAGATTACTCTTGATAGTAGATTCCAGTCACTCATTTATTCAGCAGGTATTAGTGCTCACTTACTAGGTGCCAGAAACTCTATTACTCAAGGTCTAGTTCTGAACAACACAGACAAGTACCTCTCCTCATGGACGCTGTATGCTAGTGTGTGGGAGAAGGACACTGGAGAGTGAGCTCCTTTGTGACTGGCCTCCACCTCCCTACTCCACCACCAGACAGACTTTGCAATAGGAAAGAACATAGCAGCATGTCTGTAAGGTCCAGGAAGGCAACAGAGGTGGCAACGAGAACTTCACTCTCAATAATTTTATTAACTTTGTGTTTATATGGTTTTTAGGACCCGTTACATTCTGACTAGCCAGGGGACTGGGCTGCTTGTGGAGATGGTCATGCTGAGTAGCAGAAACTGCTCCCAGCCATGTCTGCCTCCCAGCCTATTACTGAATTACCTTTGCACTTTCAGTCTGCTTCTTAGTAGAAAGTGTGCAGCATAAACAAATTGACTCTGATACTCACTGCAACTATTAGGATTGGAACTTAGGGAAGAAATTCTGCTACTTTGACTTCAAAGTGTGCCCTGGTGTGAACCTGTCTGCCAGGGCATTTTCTTCTCTCTGTAGAACAGTGTAGTATGGCTAGCTAGAAGCATCAGATCTCGGTTGTGTACTTGGGGCTCCTATGGACTCTTTTGAGGGCTGGGGATGGAGCAAGGCTTTTCTCTGCTCCAGGAGCACAATGAGAATGCTCTGCCTCCTAAAGCAGAGCTCTTGCCCCCTCTGCCCTGGCTTTTTGCGAATAGCTTTCAGGGAGGGCACAGCTTCCACTGAAGCTCTTGTCTTTGTGGGCTTGCAGGAATGTGCTTAGTGAGAGACTACCCAACCCTCCAAAGAGCTCTGGTGAAAAGAACTGACAAATTCATGTGTATTAGTCTGTTCTCATGCTGCTAATAAAGATATACCTGAAACTGGGTACTTTATAAAGAAAAGAGGTTCAATTGACTCACTGTTCTACATGGCTGGGGAGGCCTCACAATCATGGCGGAAGGTGAATGAGGAGCAAAGCCGTGGTTTACGTGGTGGAAGGCAAGAAAGCGCCTACAGAAGAACTCCCCAGAAGGGTAACCTTCTAAGGAGGGCCGATTAGAGCACACAGTTCAAAGAAGTCAGGTCCGGCATGGCTGAGGCCCGAACAATACCCTCAGCACCCGGGCCTCCCCTCCCCTAACCCATCTTCCATTGTAGGAGAATGCTTGTAAGTTTGTGAGACCTGCCACTATTCGGGTCCTGGAACCGGTTTAACTATGATATTCTAGATGGAAAAGCTGCCCCGTAGAGAGAGACAATCCTAAGCAAGACAAATTATAAACCAAATACAAAGTCTCAAAGCCTTCAGCTTCTGAATTTCCCCCAAAATGTTTTACCAATTTAAGACTGGCTCCACTGAGAACTTGAACCGGCCACTTTGCAGTTGCAGGCCCTACACCTTAGCAGACTGTGCAAACAGGCCACTTGCCTCAAGGGAAGAGAGAAAGCTTTCTTACGCCGCATTTTGAATGAGAATGCTGCACCCTGAAGCCGTGTGGCCTGCCCAAAGCCAGGTCGGGCTGAAAGCCATCAGCCGCCTGCTTTCCCTCAGCTGCTTCAGCGAGTTAAAAAGCTGCTTGCCGGGTCTGTTTAAAAGCTGCATTCGCAGCTGCTGCTGGGCCTGCGGTGAGTTCCCCAGCCCCCGCGGCTTTCGGCAGCCATGTTGACCCCGCCAGAACCTGTGGTTCGGCCACTCCCCAAGCTGCTGCCCACACAAGGACCCGCGTCTGGCAGGTGAACGTCCTGGGAAGGCTTTTTACCCTGCTGCCTGG